AATACTTGCTTGCTTGCAGCGGAGAAATAGGCGTCGAGTGGAGAGGAACGATGGCGAGTGGAGAGGAACGGTCCTGAATGGAGAGGAACAGTGGCGAGTGGAGAGGAACGGTGGCGAGTGGAGAGGAAAGAAGGTGAGTGGAGAGGAAAGAAGAAGAAACTGGCGTGAGGCGGTGGTCCGGTGGACTGAGGTCAGGCGGTGGTCCGGTGGACTGAGAAGCGGCGGAGAGGAGAGTTGAGAGAGAGTGGAGAAGAGAAGAAGGTTTGCTGCTGCTGAGTGCTGGGTCTCGTTTTCGAATGTGGGCGGCTGGGGTTGGGGAGATACAAACAAATTAGGGTTAAAAGTTGAATAATATATTAATATAATAATATTGAAACATTTTTTACCTAGGTAATAAATGGGTAATAAACGGGTTGTATAATCGTGTTACCTAAATATGACACGTTTAATATACGGGTTATTACGGGTCAATTACGGGTTGGCGGGTCAACCTGAAAATGACCCGTTATTTAATCATGTTTCACGGGTTCGACCTGATTTTGACCCGGACCTATTTATGATAAACCCAAACCCGCTAATTTCGTGTGGGTTTCGAGTCGTATCGTCGTGTCGATACTCAGATTGCCAGCCCTAATGTTAACGCTAATTGCTTCCTTATTACTAGACTTCTTCTTTAAAAATATAAAAATTAAAAATTAAAAACGTGATCATATTTTCTATATTCTATAAACAAAATCTGCATATGTTATCAATTGGACAATGAAAAGATAGATAATTGAGTAATTATCAAAAAAAGGTAAACGCATATTCCAGGAGAACCACTTCAAACTTATTCAGATCAAACGTGATCCATTAATGATTAATAGGACCACTTCCCCTAGTTTATAGCCGGCCTTATTGCTGTTGCCTAAGTCGCAGAAACTAGTGTACTCTACCTAGTGCATAATACATATATCTGATTTGATGTATCACAATGACTATACAAGAGAGTAGGAATCTAGCCAATGCACTGGTCCATTAAATTTTTATATTATTGTTATTATTGCCCATATTATTGAATGGCCCATTAGATTTTACAATCATAAGTCGATTTTATTGTATTATGATCTTCTGGAAGTTAGGCCACTCAGAAAATTTAGGCCTGGCAGCTGTTAGCAGTTTGTGTGATTCCCAATTAATTTGTCACGTCAATTAATGGAGTTATAAATGTTCTACGCATCGAACACGTTCCTTTTAAAGATATTAGGTTCACTTCAGGGACGTTTGATAAGAAGATTCGTACCTGATTCGAATCATGATTTAAAGTTCGTTATAATATTTTTTTTTATAAAAAATACATATAAATTAAAAATAATTATAATCTCATAACTTTAATCTATGAACCAAACGTCTCATTCATTTATATATAAAAGCTTGTACCTTCCTTTCAAAAAAATAAAAAATAAAAGCTTGTACCTCGTGACTTTCTATATAAGCTGTAAGTACTTTTTCTTTTCACCGTTACTTTCTTGCATTGAGGTGGGGTTTTAGTAAGTCAATATGTTCATACAATTGTTCTATCAATTTAATTAAAAAAAAAAAAACCTTATTTTTTGCAGCCAATATAAGCCTTCTTTACTTACTTTTTGCAGCCTAATTTCCATATGTTCTTGACTTATTTTGTAAAAAAATAAAAAAAAAATAAAAAAATAAAAAAAATCATAGGCAATATAAATGTGATTTCACAATTTATTCTAACCATTAATGCACACAACTGCTAGGCATTCATTCATAAATTTGCAGTACTTGCAAAACTAATAAGAAGCAACAACTGAAATATGGTGGAGTTAATTCAGACATAAAAAAAAAAATAAAAAAATAAAAAAAATCATAGGCAATATAAATGTGATTTCACAATTTATTCTAACCATTAATGCACACAACTGCTAGGCATTCATTCATAAATTTGCAGTACTTGCAAAACTAATAAGAAGCAACAACTGAAATATGGTGGAGTTAATTCAGACATAATGCTGGCAAAGAAGCAGGCAGGAGGATTTGATGCTCACCAGCAAAAACAGTACTTCTGATATCTCTATTTATATACTTTTTCTTATTCTATCATACAATTTTCAAAAAAATTCGACTCATATCCAAGTCTCGAGTTATGTAATCATAGATTCTAAATGCCGAAACTGAAACCCAAAAGCAACAAGGATCAAATAGTACTCTTTTATCACGGCCATCAAGTGAGATATAATGTAGAAACTACAAAAATCTCAAAAAACTTTAGATCACAATGAGAAACTTTTAAATAATTCCGACCCATATATAATATAACTCAAAAGTCTCTAGCTTACCACAAACAGATCCGATGTCATTAATTGAACCCCTTAGTCACGAGTCAACCCTTCTCATATTATCCTGAATCATTGAGACCCATAATTAAGCAAACCCCACACGTTGACGTCACAAATCCACATGCATATGATTTTCATTAATTTGAATTTCCCGCTCGATCAGTAACGGCTTTTTTATACACATGTACATGTGTTGAGCCTTTATGTCATTCAATGCTATAAATACATATATGTGTTGTGTATAATAATATTACTACTATTACGTTAAGGTCCATTAATTTTACCGATTTGAGTTTAGAATTCGAGTTTTATTACAGTAAAAAGTTTTCAGAAATAATCATATCTAATTTTTTTATTACAGTAAAAAGTTCTCACATAAAGTCACATTTTAACTCGAATTAAAAACTCAAATCAGCGAACTAAACGAACTCTAAGTCTATGAAAGATTATTGTTGAAAATGTTAAATGGGAATTAATATTCCTGGTCAGTGGGACGACTCAGGGGGTCTATACTTTCTAGCAGAAATTTCAGAACTTTGCCTGTATGTCACATGTGTCATCTAGTTTGTCACCTGATATCTGACCCCTAATTTTTTCTCCGGATTAAATTTTCCATAAATGGGGTCACAGGTATTATATAAATAGTACTTGAGATAACTTGTGCTTTTTCTTAAGAAAAAAAGGGTAAAGGATATAGGAATCTTTGCACTTGTGTCTTTTACTCTTGGCTATTTTCATATTTGGCCTTGTGTCCGTAATATAAATTCTAGCTATCTGTTTCAAATATTGGCCAACACTGTCTGCGCTTTTCAGTTGAGGCTTAAATCATATGCAGAATAGGGGATCAGAGAATAGTCTGTATATTTCTCATAAAAATGGCAGTATATTTGGTGATGCTTTTTCTTTTTTCCATTTAATTTCCTTTATATAAAGGCCAAAATGAAAAGACATTAATGTGACAATATTGTCTCTGCTTTCATAAGCAATGCTTCACAATTTGTCTGCTTAATATTTTACAGTACACATCTTCAAATTTGTTCTCTCTCTCTCTCTCTCTCTCTCTCTCTCTCCACTTTCTTTCCTTATCTTTCTCTCTCTCTCTCTCTCTCTCTCTCTCTCTCTCTCTCTCTCTCTCTCTCTCTCTCTCTCTCTCTCTCTCTCTCTCTCTCTCTCTCTCTCATGTTCATATCCTAAAGAATGACCGTCGTAAAACTTTCCATCACAGTAAAATATCTAAATTCAAAAAGGAGAAAAAAAAGGCTAGTACTTGCTTGTACTTTATTTCTTCAGTGTATATATGAATTAGAATTCAGTTCCATGTGTAGTAATTTAAAGTACTTCAGCTGTGCATTATAAGACACCTGGCTAGCTTAGAGTTACCTTACCCTGTATATTAAGGGTTCGTTTGGTTGGAGAATTCAAACTATGTGATTCGAACCATTTTTAATTTATGTGTATTTTTTATGAGAAAAAATATTATAGCGAACCACGAATTATTATTCGAATCAGGGAACGAATCCCTCTACCACGCCTCCTAAATAAATATTTAAGCCTTTGTAATTATTTACAACTTTAGGCTGGCTTTTGAATGCACGTCCAATTTCTCGGGTATGCACAAAACCATCTTTTTAGTTATTGTCCTATTATTACTTTTTTTTAAAAAGCTCAGACTCCCATGAAATAAGAACCAAATCCTACATACATATGATTCTCTTCGCATGTACCCTTTTTAATGCTTAATATAAAAAAGCAAAACATTAGTGGTTATCCTTGGTAACAGTGCTTCAAACCTTCATCAATGCTATATATATCATTTCTTGGAATAAATTAATACTTTCCAACATTTTTTGGCTGCAAATATATGTTCTCCTTTTCTTATTTGAAATCTTGGACCTATACGTTAACTTGCACTCATATATATAATGAATGTCATACATTTAAATACATATATATATATATAGAAGATAAAAATGTACTAATTTTTCTTGCCATTCATGTATCAAGACCTAGCCTTCGTCATTAATTCGAATAATAGCTAGCAAGTGTAACATGATCAATACATTTTACATATGAATATCTCACAAAGATTCATTATTAGTACAAACCGGGCAATGTAACCTTAAAGTTCTTATAAAGTATATAAAGTAGAAAAAGCAACAGATAAGACGAACATACTAAAACATGACTCATGAAACATCAAAGTCGAATAATGTACAGAAGGCGAGAGAGAAGTGGATTCCTCTGCCACTGTTGTCTTTTGAGAACAGCTGAAGGGCGCGAGGGCTGTCGGGGGGGTCAAGTCCTACGTGTCAATTCCTAGACCCTCTTTACAAGTCCCAATTCACGCGGGCCCACCCCCCACAAGCGAATAGCATCTCATCACGTGAATCATTCATGAGAGATATATATGTGACCCCTCTCCCAAGAGTAGTCAATGTTGAATCAACAGTCAAACACTCCAATGCTTAGCCCATATTGATATTCCTTCAAACAGTATTCCAAAACGACACCGTTCCAAAAGAAAAATACCGGTGACGTTTAGTAAGGAAATTCGTAGTCTGATTCGAATCATAATTTATGGTATTTTCTCTCATAAAAAATACACATAAATTAAAAATAATTTTAATTTCATAATTCTAATCCATAAACTAAACGTCTCGGTGCCTTGTGTCACTGTTCGGTGTGAAATTAGTATCACCAAGTCCCGACCAAAATCAGAGCCGTTTCATGCACGAGAGTGTCCACTATGTCCCTTTCAATCTCCGTCACCAGTCCTTCTCCTTCTTCCTCAAACGCCATTTCCTTTTGGATCTTCATGAACCGATCTGGCATATCTTTATCAATTAACGCATCAATGTCTTCAAGCACTTGGCAGTCTCTGCATGGAAACCTCTGAATCCTCGAACACAATGTGTCAATCAACTCTGACCCAATATTAATATAATATTTAGCATTGTTTGTGCTGTAATTATTAATCCATGGCCTCAAGTTGATATAAGGCCTCAAGATATCGGCCAAGATTTCATCCACAACGTCGAACAACAACCTTCTGTTGCACCGGAGACGAAACTGGCCAACGTTGGAGAGATCAACGTTGTTGTTGTTGTTAACGTACATGGAAATTTCGAGGCGGTGAAAAATGGACGGGTCCAGGGGGTGGGAGGGGGAGAACCAATTGGTGAAGGACACGTGGGAAGCGTTGGCTATGCCTGTACGGGCAAGTATTCTGGAGATGTAGTGGCGGAGTATTTGTAGCTCTGACTTTGACCCACCACCACGAGCGGTGGTGGCGGTGGAGGTGGCAGTGGCCGACGTGGCAACGCCGTTTGGTACGTGGACGACGTCGTTTATGATAATGTCACGTGTGTGGAGCACGTGGGACGATGGTTGTGGGCCCTGGGAGTAGTACTTTTGGCTCTGAGAACTAGATAACTGTGACGAACGTTTCGATTCTTGGGCGTCATCAGGTACCTCTGCTGCAGTTGGCTGCTTTTCCAATAAACATAACGTAACAGAAGATAAGCTAACTGATAGAATTTACCCTCCCCAAAATTCAGCCAACACTCTCTACATACATACATACATACATATATATATATATAATATGTGTAACAGTCAATTTTTACTTATCTAACATGACATAAAATACCTTAGAAAAGATATGATATTTTTATTGTTATAATTTTGTTTCCGCCTAAACCACATACACTGCATAATAATAGTTCCTATTTTCTTGAAAGAACAAGTCCTCGTTCATTCGAGTTTTGTTACAGTAAAAAACTCTCACAAATAATTACATCTAATTTTTTTATTATAATAAAAAACTCTCGTATAAAATCACATTTTAATTCAAATTAAAAGCTTGAACGAACTCTAAATATGAACATTATTGATTTTGATTAATACAAACAAATAAAAAGGACAGAAAAAGAAAAGGTACTACATGAAGGGAATAAAGTGGAGTACCTGTATGGGAGAAGAGAAGACATGTTTGTTGCAGGTTGATGGAGGTGAATTAGAAGATTTCTTGAGGGGTAGAAGGGTAGGGACGACTACGTTGAGGTTGATGAGATTGTTGGACAAGGGAGTTTTCTTGCATTTCTTCTTGTCAGGAATGTTGGTTCTGCAGCTGGCTGCGGTTGACGGACGAACAAATGTCTCCTCCTGCATTTTCTGTAGCCTCCTACCAAACGTAGCCCCTCCTATTTCTCTCCCATAATTACCTCCTTTAACAATATGATCATTAATATTGTTAATTCTGCTCTTAATCACCATCTTTTGTTGCTGCTGCTGCTGCTCTTGCAGTGTCTGATAATGAGTACCCTTTGAGTTTGACTTCGCCCCGTTAACTTTGACCGTTGAAAGTTGAGAGGTTTGATGATCTTTGGGGCTTGTGGATAACGGTGTTGTGGTATGATTAGTACTTGTCTTGGAATCCGTGAATCTGGTCATCAGCCTTGGAGAGCAAGTAGAAGAAGAGGAAGTGGTAGTTGACATTGATGATGATGATGATGAGTTTTGCTTTCCTGATCGGCTTGCTTGCTCTTCAAGTTTCGACAAGCTGGGCTTTGAGACTGATGACCTCTTGGATTTGAGCTGATTAACAAGCTCGTGATGATGATTATCTGATCTGTTTCTCGTTATCAATATGGTGTTTGTGACGTCCAAGCCGACTTTTCTGCTAACACTCTCCTTAACCTGCTTCACAATCTCCCTAGCGTAATGGCCCGGGCTTCTGCTACTACTTTCACATGTGTGTTCTTCAACTCTCAACTGCTTTCTCCTCAAAGCGGACAGCTTAGAGAAGTCCAAATTTAAATCATGGTCAACAATATTCTCTTTGTTGATCTGCAGCGAAAGGCGGTGGTGATGATCAACGTCCGATCTTCTCGCCGAGGAGACCCTTGGGGTCTCGGGCAATGACCGAGTTCCTGCGCTACTGTCACCGTCCAATAGGTGTCTGGCTTTGTTCCGGAGCCGGGGCTGCCGAGACCGGAGAGGCTGCGTGTGTGACCTTGAGAGGTATAGTTGTTTTTGCGTTGCATGGATGGTTGGTGAAGAGCTTTCAGGAAGAAGGTCAAGACCCATTAGTCTTGCCACCAAACTTGGAGTTTTGGTCCCCGGAGAGTTGCTGCTTGTGTCTGAGGAAAAATCACTGGGA